TGTGTGTGTGTGTGTGTCTGTGTCTGTGTCTGTGTGTGAGTGTGTCTGTCTGTGAGTGTGTGTGTGTCTCTGTGTCTGTGAGTGTGTGTGTGTGTGTGTGTGTGTGTGTGTCTGCGTGTGTGTGTGTGTGTGTGTGTGTGTGTGTGTGTGTGTGTGTCTGTGTGTGTGTGTGTGTGTGTGTGTGGGTGCGTGTGTGTGTCTGTCTGCGTGTGTGTCTGTGTGTGAGTGTGTCTCTGTCTGTGAGTGTGTGTGTGTGTGCGTGTGTGTGTCTGTGTGTGTGTCTGTGTCTGTTTCTGTGTCTGTCTGCGTGTCTGTGTGCATGTGTCTCTGTGTGTGTGAGTGTGAGTGTGAGAGTGTGTGTGTGTGTGTGTGTGTCTGTGTCTGTGTGTGCGTGTTTGTCTGTGCGTGTCTGTGTGTGTGTGTGCGTGCGTGTGTGTGGGATGAAAATAAAGTGAAAGCAAAAGAAAACTGAGAGACAGAGAGAATATAAGGTTACATACCCAGTATACATAGTTGCATATTAAGCTATTAAGCAAAAATACATAACCCAAGTTTCCAACACATGATTAAATAACTTTTTGCTTTTTGTTCTTCTGACATACTTTTATACTTTTCTATAAATTTTAGGAATTTATATACAGAACTTGTCAAAAGTTTGGAAACAGTATGATTTTTAAATGCTTTGAAAGAAGTCTCTTCTACTCATCAAGGCTGCATTTATTTGATAAAAAATACAATAAAAACAGTAATATTGTGAAATAGTATTACAATTTAAAATAGCTGTTTTCTATTTGAATAAGTTTGAAAATGTAATTTATTCCTGTGATCAAAGCTGAATTTTCAGCATCATTACTCCAGTCTTCAGTGTCACATGATCCTTCAGAAATCAGTATAATATACTGAATTACTGCTCAATTATTATTGCTGCTCAGTTATTAATAATGGTTCTTATTATTATCCATGTTAAAAACATTTTTGCATTTTTGTCAGGACTCTTTAATAAATATAACATTTTAAAACTGTAATGTTTCCTAACTTTGACAAATATATATATATTGTGTATATATCCCAGCAAGAGGATTTAAAATGTATTTAAATACAAGAAGAAGCTTTATAAATTATTTAACCAATTAGTGTTTCCAGAGCCAGAACCATAATTTAGAAACTGCATTAAACAAACTTAAATGTGCATTTATCAGAGCTAGAAATAGAGAAGTGTGGCACTCTCTGAACATCAATCAAAATTGCACAATGCTACAACATTATATTCCTTACATAATTTTCTATATAAATAGATGGCCAAATCATTTGAAAAACAGTACAACATTTCTAATAGCCACTCTCACTGAACCCTTGAGCTTTTCAACAGGCCAAAACAATCTCCAGCCCTGCGTCTTCAGATTTCTCTCTCCTCATTCCACATTAAGCCCCAAACTTCAGCCCAGTGATCCCTGAGATTCACCGCGCCACACTTACTCACCTGCAGGTCAAAGCTGCTTTGAGGATTTTGTCGTCGCTCTGTTCTCTGGCCAGCGGTCTGAACCTTCTCTAACACTCCTGTGAATGAGAACGGGGGAATGTAAACACACACAGACGTATAGAGATATTTTTCCAGCCCTTCAGATAGAATCTCACCTCGTATCTCCTCATCTCTCAGCCGGCGAATGGCTGCCCGAATGAGTTTTCTCTCTTCATATCCACTGGCGCTTTGTAACTTAAAAGAAAGAAAGAAAAACAGAGGGCAAGACACAAAAACAGTATTTAGCTTGACACGACTGATATTTAAGCCCACACAGAATGTGAACCCACAGAATTCCACAGAGAAAACGCTGGGATATTTCCACAGAATTCAAACTATTAGAAAATACCAAATACATTTTTAATTGCAGGTTTTGGATGAAGTGTAGTACTCTCAGCTCTGATTAACCATATTTAAAGGAATAGTTCCCCGAAAAAATGACCATTTGCTGAAAATTTACTCATCCTCAGCCCATCCAAGATGTAGATGAGTTTGTTTCTTCATGGGAACAGATTTGGAGAAATGTAGCATTCCATCACTTTCTCACCAAAGGATCCTCTGCGGTGAATGGGTGCCGTCAGAATGAGAGTCATGATAGACTTGTTTGTTACAAACACGCAGCTTTTGTCTTCACAAGACATTAACTGATGGACTGGAGTGGTGTGGATTATCGTGATGTTTTTATCAGCTGTTTGGACTCTCATTCTGACGGCACCCATTCATTGCAGAGGAGCCATTGCTGAGACACTGATGCAATGCTACATTTCTCCAAACCTGATGAAGAAACAAACTCATCTACATCTTTGATGGTATGAGGATAAGTACATTTTTTTATTTTTTTAAATAATTTCTGCACATTCTTAACGCAAAAAACGGGACAGAATTAATTCATCAAAATTCATTGCTATTTTCAAGAACAATAAACCTCACAACTTTTTAACACAGAACAATGGTATTCATTCAGAATGGGCTCTTTGCA